TTATGTAAAAAAACATTTTTTTTTTTAGACTAGAGAGATGGGTTACAGAAAAAAAAAAATCTAATGTTGGGTTTGATAATTATATTTTTTTGATTTGGGTGGTTTTGTATTGAGATGGTATATTTGTATGAAAAAAAGTTTTCAATAGAATATGGATAAAAAAAAGAAACATTGGTGGGTATAATTTAAAGAACAGGACATTTGCGGTTTTATGGAATTAAAATTTTTCATATATACGATTTCCACTTCAGCCTAAAGCTGTATCTCCATACGTCATTTGTTTTGCTCTGCCCAGAATTTGCAGAGAACTGGGTCTGTAGCATGTCCCACTGATGTGAGTCAATGGAAGTCAATTAGGAATAGACACTACAGTAGGTAAATGAAAACAGATGGACCTTTTCTTAAAATGAATAGATTCCTTTTTCTTAAGGTCCAATGCAGGCCCAGAAGTAGGTTGACCAAAGATCAAATGCACTTGTCATTGAATGCTAAATCATTTCATAAACGTCAGAAACTAATGCCATGGGCACGAGTCCAAAGCCTTCAAAACAGGCACCACGTAAGATTTCCTGCTTTCACTGAAGACACACTTTGCTCATGCAGGGCAAAGTGGCAGTGTCTTTGCAAAGGGCCACCCTGACCCACTGATACTCATCTTGCCAGTGCTCTCTCTCCCTCTCCACTCCTTTGTCCATCACCAATCCCTAGGCTACAGGGACTGTCACATGACAGAAAGAGTGAGATCACGGTTCTCCACTGGGCTTTTATTGCGGGCTGTTTGCAGAGAAAGAAGCAGCAAGTTTGAACTGGCAAAGTATCAGTGATTCGGGAAGGGGGTACTTTGCAGACACTAACTTATTCTGAGTGGACTAGGGGTCTCCTAATTAATATATCACTCTGCAGAAGAAAGAAGCTGAACTCAAAGTTTCATATTGCACTCACTCATCATTGTGTTTCCTAAAAATACAACAGCCAGTTGTAAATAACATTAACTATATATGGTCTCTTAGGTCTTGTAAACTGAAAGCCCAGAAAATTATGGCTATTATGTAGACATCAGACCACAGAGCAGCCATTAATGACCTTCAGAGTTTGTCTTCCGCTGTTTTCAAACCAATTATGGAAATGAAAACAAATTGAGCAAGCCATTAGAAATATAGTACAAAGCAAAAACCAGCTGTATCCATTTCTATTCTATCTTATTATTTGAATTTGCCAATGTTCAATATTTCTGCTCAAAAGAATGAATGATACCCTAGGTCCCACTGCATGAATCCAGTCATAAGTGGGATTTTTTTTTTTAAATGTTATGTATGAAAGTAGTTTGTTCTGTAATTTTAATGAAAGAAATGGAGCCACCATTATTTTTTTAGTTGATTCCAGTGTTGTTATCTGGTGTCTCAGAAAGTCTGAGGTCTATTACCATTAGCGTTGTGCATGTTGCTGTAGTAAACATAGGATAAGGTCCTTTGTATCCGCTAACCATATCACTTCCATACATCTTCATGACAGAAAAATCTCTTCATAAATAAAATACTGGGTTTTTCTCCATGTTATTTGGTTAGAAGGCATGAATTGCAGCTTCCTATAGTAAACAAACGGTAAGCTGTTTTAGTTAATGAAAACAGCACACATAAATGGGAACTTCCAAGAAACATAATAGGACATATTTTTTTATGTCTCCGGATTAAAAAAAAAAAAAAAAAAAAAAAAAAAAAGCTCAAGATTCCCAAACATGTAAAACATGTTCTAATAAATAAATAAATACACTTCCTATTGTCTTCATATTATAGTTTTCAAGGCTGCATCAGCTAAGAACTATACATCCATCCTCACACTTAAATCATAATCCCTGATATACAGGAAAACAAAAATTATCTACATCACAAAATAAATATTAATTATGCTATCAGCATTGTATATTAGACCTAAAACAAGTACTTTTTTTTACATTAACATATTAGTTTTATCAATCCACTTTACACTGGGCTGGCATCATTTAAACCTGGGTCCAACAAACAGTGGAAAAGACAAATTTTAGTAGCCCAGTATTACAGTACATGAGGTCCTTTGCTACTTTGCAAATTGACAGATTAAGACTATGAAATGGCAGACTTTTTCACACAAGGATTTGATCTGCTTCACAAGTTATATATGTACTAGCCAACAGTGGCAAACTAGGTCTACATATTCAAGAGGAGGCAGAACATTTTAAACCCATGTAAACATAATTGTAAATTGAGACAACTTAAGTCAATGTAAAAGTAAAAGCTGCACCATTGCATCCTAACACTGGCCATTAACATCAGTTATAAGGAAATTTCAAGCGCTTTAAAATGAGCTTTTGCTATGGAAAACCAACCAAATGGATCAATCCAATCTGCTACTAAGTTTGTGAACACATCTACAAGCAAAGGCCATGGAGGCAATGCCACCCATTGAATTACTTTATTAGGTTAACAGGCTGCTCTCACAGCATAGCTGGTGTTTGTGGAACACCTGGTATCTATGGAGGTTACCATTGCGAGGACCGTGTATTTACTTGGTGTCACTATTTTACGGTTTCAATAAATTGTAACAGTTATTGGTAGGTTGCCTTGATGCAATTGGTTGTTTTTGAAACTGATGACTGCCTAAAAATTGACAAGTGTTTGGCCAGCATTAGGGTTGAAGAGTTGTGTCTATATCCAAGTATACTGGTTCTACATCAGTAACATTTACGGTAGGTACATTCAGCTACATCTGTGTTCATATCTTTTAATTTATGAGACAGCTTATGTGCGCCGTTACCCTGATTACTGTAAGATAAGTATTCTGTGTTTGCAAGAAGCTCAAGCTGTGGTATCTACCACTAAAAAAAAAGTACCCTGTGCAAAAATATGACATACCTGTGTTATAACTCTTGGACATCTTGAACTGCAAGATGTAAACAAAGCTTGCTGGAAACTATCATTTCAAATATTATTCGATGCTCCAGCACTTATTAGCTCTCTCTTACTGAGACAAGGTAACAGCAGAACCATGTAAATACAATGTAAACATAAGAAAATGTTAACGAATGTATTATGACAATGTAAAAGGCAAGTCTGGCAACCGTATAAACTGATTCTAGTCTTGCGCAGTTTTGCCTCGTTGTGAAAGAGACATGCATACACTTGTATAGAGAGCATGAAAACAAAAATATCTGTTTTTCAAATGCAAGAGCCATGGCAAAATCCACCTACCTTTGTGCTCTGCGAATAACAGTTTAGAGCCGGTTTTAAAAAAATTAAACATTCTGCCTAACAGCAGGCAGTACATGGTACCTAGTATTAAAACCTTTTTTTCTGCTCTCTGGTATCTATGAAGAAACACTCTCTCACAGGGGCGTGGATTTTTCATTCCAGCTATTTATCAAGAATGCTGCGATTAGTCTCGGATGGTTGTTCAGGTGGGACATTTTTCCAAGAGGCAGAGGGTGCCCAAAACTCCTCAAGCAAAGGGAAGAGACTCTTCAGGCTAAAAATGAATTGCCTGCTCTTAGAAAGGACTTTCACTTTTAAATCTTTAGGGCTCATTCACACCACAATGCCCATGAAAAGGCACAGAAAACACGCTTGTGAAAGAACATTGACATGTAGTTTTCAAAACATTGCACTGTGTTCTACTATGTGTTGATTTGCATTTTTTAAAATGCATTTATTTTTTGTACAGGCCACATCAAGGGTCAAAATACTATTTGTTTTTTTTTTTTCATTTTGATGTTGATAGGCACATTGCCCTGCCACACATTTTGGTACGTAGTGCTACATAAAAATGCAGCATGCCTACATTTATCCTCAACACACACAAATGCATTAATGTGGTATGAACAGTGCGCTAAGGCAATTGTTTTTAAAATGTCCTTGCATTGAGCCTGCATTGATCTGTATTGATCAATGCAGGCTCAATGCAAGGACATTCTAAAACAATCTGAAGCTCAAACACACCTGGTGTGAACAAGCCCTTAAAAAAAAAATTAACAGGCTTACTTGCGGTTGCTCATTCCCAATGCCATAATGACTGCTTACCGTAAAGTTTGAAAAGGTTTCAATCCTGATGTCTCTGAACACACCATTTTAATGAAAGCATGAACAAAATAGTATCCTTTGCAAAAAAAAAAGCCTTAAAGTGTATGTACCGTGTTTGGACAATAAACACGGTAAGAAATGACTGAACCACTAAAAAAGCTACAGTGCAAATAAGCTGCTATAATCGGGTATTTAGTGAAAATTGTTTGCTCAGCAAACAAAAGTAAACTGATACAGATTTTAGCATTTATATGCACAGTCTGATATTGATGATGAATGATGTTTAGTGGTGTAAACTAAATCTTTAATAAGGAAGTAGACATGCTGGTTGAACAGCACCTGTTATTTAAATACTTACTGATGTAGGATATTTCCATTTCAAAAGTGCTTTGATACAGTGAACACAACAGAAGCACACATAGTATAATTTGTAGATCCAAGGCAACCCAGAGTTTCATGCACAACTTCCAGAGTTGTATCTAAGATCCAGTCCTGCTACTTTACAACTGTGACACATGCATGAAGGCTCTTTCATAAGACGCAAGATTAACTACTGGCCAGATTTAAATGTGAAAACTTTAAGTGCATAAGAATTAGAGGACAAAATCACTAATATCGGAAGCTTGGTCTTCACTGAAGTGACTTGTTGTCACCCAGCCTTTTAGCAGGATGCATTCTAGGACTCAAAAGTGGTCCACATGGACTATAAGGTGTTTTCCTAGCACTGCAGCCATATTTTAGTTGAATCATGACTGGAGCACAGGCCTTGAAATAGAGTAACCCATTTTATAAAATAGGTGGAATGTAAAAAAAAACACATGGGCTGAAACAAAAAGAAAATGAAGTAATTCTTCTCAAGATGTTTTTGCAGACACAGATGCAGCACTATAACCACAACCACACTTGAGGAGAACTGTGCTCCATGCATGTTGTGATGAGACAGAGATGTCCTCAGATGTAAACCGGTTGCTCTTGTGCCGTCAGCAGTCGGTACATGGCTGCTGGCATAGTCTTCATATGTATCTGTTGAGGATATTAATGAAAGAAAAAAAAAGAAAAAGGAAAGAACAACACATAAGATTATATTTATAGAAGAATGAACAGCTTACATATATCATACATAGTGGTGTTGTTATACCCCTTAGTCCAACTTAGATGTGTGTACAACTTGTAACTTGTTTCTGGGATATCTAGGCTGCCATTTTTGTGAATAATTTTAGAATACCAGAATCCTTGTAAGAGCAGCAATCTCTCCAAAACAAAATATGTCATTACTCATCATTGTCCACCAGAGCTGCTGGTCTATGGCCACCCTTAGAATTGACAATAAAAATCAAATATCCTCATCCACCTGCCAAGTTTTCTGCAGCTCCCAATTAAATATATAATCATACATCTGGTCCAGCTTGTCAGTTTCTACTTTTTGAACATGAAAACGTACTTCTACATCTGACAAAAGAACTTTTTTTTATAGCCGCTACTCACCAACTAATTCTCTCTAGCTTGAATAATAACAGCAATACGTTTTAACCAGGGAAGACAGGGACACGGTCACTTGGACCATAGAAAAGTGTCAGTCATTTCACAGAAGTCTAATAGATGTTGATTTTCAGGGAACGTGTTACAGCAGAAACTATCCTAAGTTTCTTTCAAACACCATAGCATGGCCATGTCCTACTAATAATCTTTCCTGAGTGCAAGTTCGTTTTTGTTTAAAAGGACTAAAAAAACAAAAAAAACTAAAAAACTAATAATTAAAAAACAGTAAATATGTATGTGTTACTTTGATAAGTTATACAGTAGGTTGCAGTATTGATTACCTCGCCAACTGCATTGGAGAGAATATGCACTATCTTCTCATGAGGAGTTGCTACAACACTCTGTCCATTGATCTCAATGATGCGATGACCTACTCGTACACCACCTCGCTCTGCGATCCCACCTCGCATAAGGCTGCAAATCTGCAAATGAAAAATTGCTGTATAAGCAAAATTAGGCTCATTTTGTTTTTCTAAGAGGATGTTCAACTATCAGCCTCTCTGTACTGAGAAATGACAGCACTGACCCAATAAATAACAGCTGAAAGTCTGAATCTGTTAGCTGTGGGGAACTACTGACACACCAAGACATTAGGCCCAAATAGGAATGCTTTGAAGTCATATTTAAAAAGTAAATAATAAATAAAAAAATCATATACAAAAATTGCTAGTCACTAAGCCACAATTTTACATAGATAGCTCACTTACAAAAGGAGTGTTCTAATTCATTTAGCTTTATCTGCCAACCATCTACAGCAAAATGACAGCTTAATGTTCAAGAAGTGTTGGTTTACAGTGGACCACCAGATCCCTTCTCTTAGGTTACTACCCTTCACTAATTCAGTAGTCAAAATATGATTGATTGCTACAGGTAACACAAACCCTTCCCAGATTTTGATCAGCCTGCCAACAATCCATAATGTCTGTTCAAAATGTATTATTTTACAACTACTTCTATTTCTTTTTGTGTGCTGGTGAAATTCTGTATACCATTTTAAATTTTGTGATGACTAGATTATTTAATGAGACTATGAACTACTGCACCAAATGTGCCACTACAAGTGTTTAAAATGAAAACAGATTTCTAGAATGACTAAAACCTTTTACTGCCTTCATTTCTAACATGCTCACATAATTTTTACCTATTTAAAATTTCTGAAAAATCTAAAACCGTTGAGGTCCAACAAAGTTACTATAAATGTATAGATTCTACATCCATACCTCCCTTCATTCCACAGGAGAAAGGATTAAATAATATCCTAAATCCAGGCTTTTTCTAGTTTTTAAATTGGCTAGGAAAATATTAGATCCTTAGATGGAATAAAAAAAAACTGACGTCATCGAACCCGTCATTAGTATTGGCTGAAGTAAGGAGAACTCTTAACTATAACAAGATACTTTCTGGTTCTAATGTCAGATAAATGTAAAAAATACAATACATGATATTAAAATAGTTCTAATTCTACATGTATGCTTGGTATAAAGATAGACGCAATGGAATATATTTATTTAAAACATGTTCTGTCACTTACAATGCCATTCTGTACACTGAAACCAAGCTGGTATCGAAGGTCAGGTCTCCTGATTAAGACAGTGGTAACTGGAGGACATCTCACAATGTTCAGCTTTACTCGTGACTGGTTCTTTAAGCCCTATTTAAAAAAAAAAAAAAAAAAAATGTAAAACTATGCATGTAAATGAAGGACAATGACAATGTATATACAGTATACTGTTTGTAGCCATAGTGCAATATACAGTATACTGTTTATGGCCATAGTGTACAGAGAGATTTGTGAGTAGTGCAAATTACTGGAGATACTTGTACTGGAGTATTTTGCAACAAAGGGCCGAAAATGACTGAAGAGATATTCTAGAAGTATGTATACATACCGTACATACAATACTATGAGGCCTTCCCTTCCAAACCTTCCATAACACCAAAATGAATACAAAAGTACTGTAACCAAAATCCTAAACACATAGTGGACGATTAAAAAGTTCTATTCTCTTAGCAAAACAAAGAGCACACACTGGAATTTTTACTCCCAGTGATACCATAATTGATTTTACTTGCTAAGCATTTGCAAAATTTTGTCTGACTTTAGCAATATTCAAAGGCCATTTTGGAATCTGCAAAGTGATTCTAACGTTAAAACGTTTTTTACCTTAATGCATTTCCTGCATTAAGGTAACAAAATTTTCACCCCTCACCCCCCAACCTAAACACTTACCCGAGTCTTCTTTTGGTTCAGTGCCTGGCTGATTCTATTCTCTCTTTACTTCCTGCTCACACAAGAAACTCTGAAAGCAGTGGGAGCCATTAGCTCTTGCTGCTGTCACTCGAAAGCTGTGAAGAGAGAGTGGGGAGCACGGTCGAACTGTGCTATGTCTATGGACACACACAGCCCAGCTCAGGAGTACCTCCACAGCACATGGCTTGCTATGGAGACACATGCAGGAGAGGAGGAGCGGGACAATGCTGGTGGGAGGACTCCAAAGGAGGAGGTAAAAGGACAGCTCTGTGCAATACCAATGCAAAGAGCAGGTAAGTATATCCTCTTTTTTAATTTAACAAACAAAAATTTGGCTTTACAATCACTTTAAAGTAACTGTGTCACTGTGTGTTAAACTCTTCAGCCACTATGAGAATGGCTTATAAGCTCTTTCAAAGTTTTTGGTAAACCGCAGATTTGTTATATACAATTTTTAATCACCATTCAGAGCCTTTGACTCAGTGACATTAGCCAATGTTGGATCTGTGCACTGGTGGAGGCCTAAGTTTAGCTTAAAAGTCATTTAACCTATATTTACAGTGGTTATCTCCTTAGAATAATAATGACCAAGAAATAAGGAATTCCTATGGCGATATTCACTTCATGTAAGATACTGTTACTGTAAAAAAATCTAACAATGGATGTGTTTTGTAGCTTACCTTGATGATGCTTTGACAAGTGGATAGCGGTAAACCAACTAAGCTGGTTCCGTTTATGGACATTATTTGATCCCCAATGTTCAGTTTTCCTGACTTTTCAGCAGGTCCTCCATGCATCATGTTAGCAATAATAACAGTTGGAAGAATAGAGCCCCAGCCAGACTCTACAATGACAACTCCAAGGATTTCCCCTTTTTGTTTTTCAATAAACACCTGAAAGACAGATGGGAAGGCTGCCAAGTCTTTCCTGAGAATGGCTACTGATTCTAGATATATATATCTCAGTAAAAGGTAAGAGAATGAAAATAAGGCACTAACACAGGCACTCCTCTCTGTCCTGAGGAAGAATGGGAGACAGAGCTATAAACAAAAGACTTAGTCCACAATTAGTGTTAATTAGCTGTTTGCACCTAAACCAAAATGAATGCTCTCTATGGTTTCTAAATGATGCGTCTTTACATATAGAGTTGTCATCAGAAATTTTTGGAGCCTATAGCTAAATATCTCATTTAGGGCCACTAGGAGATAATCATGGAACTAGCTTTCTGAAGTTCTTTTTTGTTTTTCTACATTTTAACATCTCCCCCAATATGGAATATGTATTTTTTACTTTTTCTGCTTTGACCTTTTCCTACCTTCTCTACCTAGACTTTTAATCATAAAGCCAGCATTGTGGAGCAAAAATTCCAAGAGAGGTAAGTATTTTATGAGCCCTTCTATTACTCTTAATTCATCCCCACTGTTATAGTTTTACAAAACCCATGACCCTGCTTTCTCTATACCTGGTCTCCCACGGTACACAGTGCATGGAATTGCAATTATTTTAGTAAATTTAAACTGCTAAATACCTTTTCTCATCAGCAGTATATGGTAGTTTTGTGACTTATATCAGTATCCAGCTGAGCACTGGTTAAAGCTTGTAGGAGGAGTTTTCATTCTGCTCTGACTGACTTATGAGGCTGCATAACCCCTGACCCTCTGTCTAGAAAGTGCAGACTGGCCCTGTGTTAATCCCCTTCTCAAAGAAAAAATAATTCTCTAACAAACACTAAACTGAGCATGTGCAGAGTGACTCCTAGAGCTCTGTACTATTGCAGATGGATTGGGGACAGTAAAATAGGGGGAGGATCAGAGAAGATGGGATCAAAAAGCCTTTTTTACACAATACAGAGAATTAACCCCTTAGCTTCCATAGTGAGTATATCAAGCATGCTTTGCTGCATATACAGACTGATTTTATTGTTGTGGGTTTAGTAATACTTTAATACTTCAACATAGAGACACTTTGAAGAAACTGCATATTTGGTAAGAGCATAAAGTTTCAATTTGCTTTTAAAAAAAAAAAAAAGCAGTGTGCATAAACTTTCTGTTATGTGTTGCACAAGCATACTTACATCTTTACAGTTCTCAGACTTTGAGAAATGGATGAGGTCATCATTATACATGTCCTGGGTGTTAAGTAAATCACTGTACTCCTTTTGGCTCAGATCTTCTGGGTTAATGCCATTAGCTCTAAGAAATTCCTGGTAAGCAACACTGAATGCCTGACCTATAGACTGAGCGATGAGCTGAGCCTAGACATAGAGAATAATGGAAAAGTAAATTACAGAATAACTCAGCAGGATGATTCACACGACAAAATAATCATTTTAAGCTACTATGATATATAGGCACTTACATACTTAAGTTATTATTTAAACGGTGTTAAAAATTTGAGCACTTATCACCTCTCTAAACTGCAGCACTTGGTAACAAGTTTTATTATACGATTATAAAAGATTAAAAATATGCTACATTTGTTAAATATATATATATATATATATATATATATATATATATATATACACATACACACACACACACACACACACACACACACACACACACACATATACACACACTTTTAAAGTATCTGTTACATTCTAATTTCCTATTTAAAATGAACTTGTGCTCACATCATGCACACTCTACATTTAGAAATTTGGAACAGTAAAAGGGCTACAGGCACACTGCCGTAAAGCATGCAGAGCCTGCATAATAACTCGGGATCTGCAGTTGCTGTGTGCACCTTTAAGATTAATTTGAAGATAAGGTTGCATGCGGTTATGCGCTGTGGGTTCTATAAGGCAACTGCACAGACGTATGCTGCAAATGCAAATCAAATGCAGGTGCCTACAGACCAAACAAAAAAAAAAAAACAAGTCTAAGCAAGAATCTGAAGGTGCTTATATAAATTTGTTGTTTGTCCAATATGGCTGCCTATGGTTGCACCCAGGGAAGCTCCTACATTTGTTGGCCATAATCCTGGCTGATGCTCTCTGCTGACACAGAGCAAAGTGGGCAAAGTTAATTGTCAGGATGAATTTTCCTGGCTGCTTACTATCTGCCCATACAGCCTGACTCTCAGAGCTCCCCCACCCTCATTTTTTTCTATAGGTACAAATATGCAAGTGTACCCAACTTATATATCTGCGGAAAGAATTACTACACAGATTATTTTACAGCCATGTTGAGCAGCTGGGTAAAGTCAAATGTATGTAGGAAGCTTTAGAAAATGTCTAGAGGGGCTGGTCAGAGAGCTATCAACTTTCAATACCAAGAGGGCAGACTCTCATGCTATTTGGCAATTGAAAGGCAACTAAGATGGACCAATAGTCCCTGACACTGCCAAGCATGGTGTACTACTCCAAACAAATAATTTACATTTCAAACAAACACACAGATGTACAGTTGTGTTCAAAATAATAGCAGTCAGACATCACTAACCTGATCAATCACTGTTTTTGGTAGAAATGATATTTGTACATGGCAAATAATTTACTAGCAGGTGTAGTAGAGTAATAGAAATCCAACAGACCCAACAGTCATGACATGCATGCTGCTGATTCTGTGTAATTGAATCACTAATTGAAAGGGGCATGTTCAAAATAATAGCAGTGTGGAGTTCTATTAGTGAGGTCATTCATTCTTTGAAAAACAGGTAGCAATTATTGCCCTTATTTAAGGAAGGAAGGTAGCAAATGTTGTACATGCTGGTTACAGTGCATTTCTCTCTGAAATTCTGAGGAAAATGGGTCGTTCCAGACATTGTTCATAAAAACAGCGTACCTTGATTAAAAAGTTGATTGGAGAGGGGAAAACATATAAAGAAGTGCAGAATATGATAGGATGCTCAGCTAAAATGATCGCAAATGCTTTAAAATGGCAACCAAAACCTGAAAGGCGTGGAAGAAAGCGAAAAACTACCATTCGAATGGATAGAAGAATAGCCAAAATGGCAAGGACTCAGCCAACAATCAGCTCCAGGAGGACCAAAGAAGGTCTAAAGTTACCTGTGAGTACTGTTACAATTAGAAGAGGCCTATATGAAGCCAAGCTATCTGCAAGAAGCCCCCGCAAAGTCCCACTGTTGAAAAAAAGACATGTGCTGAAGAGGTTACAATTTGCCAAAGAGCACATTGACTGGCCTAAAGAGAAATGGCGCAACATTTTGTGGACTGATGAAAGTAAGATTGTTCTTTTTGGGTCTAGTGGCCGGAGACAGTTTGTCAGATGACCCCCAAACACTGAATTCAAGCCACAGTACACTGTGAAGACAGTGAAGCATGGTTGCGCAAGCATCATGATATGGGGATGTTTCTCATACTACGGTGTTGGGCCTATTTATCGCATACCAGGGATCATGGATCAGTTTGAATACATCAGAATACTTGAAGAGGAAATGCCCTTGAAATGGGTGTTCCAACAAGACAACGACCCCAAACACACCAGTAAACGTGCAACATCTTGGTTCCAGACCAACAAGATTGACGTTATGGAGTGACCAGCCCAATCCCCGGATCTTAATCCAATAGAAAGCTTGTGGGGTGACATCAAAAATGCAGTTTCTGAGGCATAACCAAGAAATAGAGAAGAACTGTGAAATGTAGTCCAATCATCCTGGGCAGGAATACCTGTTCACAGCTGCCAGAAGTTGGTTGACTCCATGCAACACAGATGTACAGCAGTTCTCAGAAACAGTGCTTATACAACTAAATATTCATTAAGTGATTCAAAGGAAAGCAAAATCTTCAAACATTTTTCACTTTATATAGTGAATGTTTGAGTTTGTAAAGAAGAATACAAACACTGCTATTTTTTTGAACAGTCTAATTCACTTTTCTTCAATTTTTTTTAGAGGAACACCACAAATGTGATTATATTTTTCTTCATGTTTTGATCTGGAATAGAATGTGTAGTGTTCCCAATGCATTTGTGTGTATGGAAATAAAAGCTATTAGAAGGATTTTCAGCTTTATTCCGTTTTTTCAACACACTGCTATTATTTTGAACACAACTGTATGTAAGCATACATTGTTGTCAAGGGCAGTATTTGCCTGCACAGGTGTTCCATGAATCTGTGTGCACGGAAAACCTATGTGGGTAAACATGGCCTTTTGAGCGGCTGTACGCTTAAGTATGCCCGTGTGAATGAGGCCTAAGGTATGTATGCATGTCACTACCTACTTCCACTGCTGTTGATTTAATTTTTAGAGTTCTCATTGTTAGCATCTAACAATTTAAGATAGGGTTGATTACAAAAGGGAATTAGCTGTTTAATTTGCAAGGGAATTTTTACTTTGTGGAAATTGCTCCCTTTGCTTAGTGAATGAAGTGGAGCTCTGATGACTTCCATCATTCAGTCATGTACAAGTAAAAAAAAATTTTTTTCCCTTGAACCTGACTGATTCTTTGCAAAATTAATTTTCACCACACTCACTAATCTAAGGGAACATTGGCCGGCAAAAATAAAGGAAGTGAATAGCCTATCTGCCTTTAGTAAATCAACCCCAGTTTGCCAAAACTAAATATATCTGGTCTGCTGGAGATAATCGTTTGCTTTCCAGAGGTATTCTGCAGGCAGCCAACAAGGAGTGGCAGATTTTTGTGAACATTATAGTGCGTTGGAAAAGTAAAGAATGCTCCAGATATAGATGGTGTAAATATTGGCCCACATGTATATAGGAGGACTTGGACATATGGTTTATCTGGAGCTAACTACTTGGAGAAATTCTACAGGTTTGGCTCCTGCTTCTTACTAAAATATCTAAAAACACACACATATTGCTCCTAGATGCTAACCCGTTCCCAGATAGTGTCAGTGTATATTATTTGCACTGATCACTGCATTACTGTCACTGGTTCCAACAAAGTGTCAGTTAGTGTCAGATTGCCCACCATACTATCACAGTTCTGCTATAGGTTTCTGATTACTGGTATAAAATTAAAAAAAAAAAAAAAAATATATATATATATATATATATATATATATATATATATATGACACACACACACAGTATCTATAATAAATACTAATGGGGAATCCAGACTAAACTGTTTTGGTTAGAGGCCTGTAGAAAAGCAAGTTACTGGTGTCGACTTTCTGCTAAACCTAACGGCCTGCATGCTCTGTAAAGAAAGAGCAAAGAACTTCTAATTCAGATTCAAATGGAATTAATTTGACAGCTTTTTGCAACAGATAATGCTGATTGTGGAAGACTTCAGTGTCGGACCTTTAAACAGGCATGTGCAATTTTCACTTCAGGTCTGGGTGCACAGCAGCCTGTTACAACAGTGTGAAATGTTTTATTCAACTGTCAGCAAAGAAAAATAAATAAATAAATAAAAAGGGCAGCAAAAAAAAAAAAGAAAAAAAAAAAAAAAAAAAGAAAAGTGTAGTGTATCAAATGAATACATTTACAAATTAGATCTCTTGCTTTTTTGCAGTGTGTGATTTGTAAAATTGCATAAAAAGCACTTAACGTAAGGAACATATATAAATAGTAGTGCTTAAGGAAAGAACAAGATATGGAACAGTGAATGTCACAAAAGTATTTTGGTGCGTAAGTGTATATTCTGGGCACAAATCCCCTGATAATTGCACCTAATTAGCATTTTTCATCTATCTTACTTGAACTGCTTGCAAACAGACTGTAGGCAAGGTCACAGTCAGTGACCAAAAATGACCTGCTGGCAAGGTTAGCCAACATCCCTCCACACAGGCAATTCATACCCTGTCCTCATTACAGCTGTGTCACTGCACCACTCATGCTGGGGAGTTGCTAAATGAGCACACACTGGCTACAGTGAAAAAAGCAGCAGCACTCTCAACTATTAACCAACAAATCTAAAAAGCATTCCCAGGGGAAGAAAAAAAAAAATAAAAATAAAATTCCATTCTTTTTACTTAGCAGCATACTGTTTAGATCAGCTATGCTAATAGGAAGCGACACTGGTGTCGTTAATTTCAACAGCTCTTTCAAGGGAAAAAATGAGACTCAGGAATGGATACATTATTTGTCCACATATTCCATTGTGACTTAGGACGGAATTAAACCCACACAAGTGTGAATGATGAGCTCTAATTAAATCGAGGACTGCAAGCCCTAATATATAAACATTTATGGATATGGACTTTCCAGCTATTACATTACACTGAGATAGTTTATTCTAATGCAAAGTAGGTCTTGATTAAATGGTGATGAATAAAAGGCATGTGTTCTTGGATAATGCTCTCCATAAACACCTACTGTATTAAAAAGCTTGAGTTTAATGTGCTTGCCACTTACAGTGCTTTAAATATAATTTTGTATTCTCACAACTGAGCCTGTTTATAATCTCCTTCCTCATGGCAGAGTTAAAGAAAACTGTACCAAGAAAATAATACTTGGGAAGCCATGGCTTAACTCTCCTTCTGAAAATGCTAGTTGCCTGGCTGTTGTACTGATTCAAAGGCTTTAACACCATCCACTCAGAAGGAGGAGCGTCCCGCCCAGCCATCATTCTGCTATAGGCCAGATGGGACACTCCTCCTTCTGAGTGGACATCACATGACATCCTGTCAGGGGGCGCCACAGTGGCGCATCTGTCACTGCTTGTGCCCACCAGACACAGTTGATGACATATCACTACACTGGCTGCTGCCAGTGTTATGTGATCGTTGTGACCAATCACAACGGATCACGTCAATTGTATGCAATGGATGGCTCCCTTTCATGCCATCCATTGTATACAATTGTGTTAGTGGTGATTGGTCACATGGTACAGACAGGGCCAATCACAATCCATTTGTACCATGTGATGAGCTTTGTTCAATCACAGCTGATCACAACAAAAGACAAATGGTTGCCAATATCAATTACATACACTGGTAAAAGTAATCATATCATATGTGTAAAAAAAAAAAAAAAAAAAAAATCCTGATCACTTGCCCAGAGTAGTACAATGATATTATGGTAACATTCTATTGCTCTGGTCACAGTGTTTTTAAAAAAAAAAAAAATAGTAAAACAAAAGGAATAAAAAAGAAAAAAATTGAAAAAAAACAAAAATTAAATCATTTTTATTTTCTTTTTACATTTTTGGTCTTCAAGAAATAAGATTGGCTGTCAGTACATCAGGATTGATCGATTGTCAAATATATATACACCATAGTTTGTGGACTCTATAACTTTCCGACAGACTAAATAACGTACACTAATTTGGGTTATTTTCACCAAAGGAATGTAGCAGAATACACTGCAGTGGTGGTTAAATACCACCAAAAGAAAGCTCTATTTGTTTGAAAAAAAAAGATAAAAACTTTCTATGGGTACAGTGTTGCAATTGTAATTCAGGGCCAGTTCACAACACAAAAATGCACTCCGGATACATTCCGGACACGTTTTTGCTTACAGTTCACACCACACACAATTCCAGTGCAGTTTTGATGCAGTTTGCAAAGCTCCAGTATGGTTCTGTGCAGAAAAAATGCAGCATGTTCTACTTTTTTTTCTGCACCAGAAACTGACTGGAACTGACTGCACTAGTGTGAACCAGGGCCATTGGAATACATGGAAAACACTATGCATGCATTTTTGATGCAAAAAAAACAAAAAAAAACAAAACACTGAACTGCACCTAGTGTGAACTAGCCCTCAAAGTGTGACAATGCTGAAAGCTGAAAACTGGCCTGGGTAGGAAGGGGGGTAAAAGTGTCTACTTTTGAAGTGGTTAATATTTTTTTTAGAGTCACTGATCAAGAACAAGTGAATCAGCAGTTTTTTATCTGACAGACAGCTAACATTCAGGTGGTCAGTAATGGCAGCCTCTGTACTTGTCCCTTTACAGGTTTATTATTTTAATTACGGTATATAGCGCCATCAATTTATGCAACGCTTTAACTATATATTATACATCCACATTAGTCCCTGCCCTCAAAGAGCTTACAATCTAAGGTCCTTAACTCACATTTATTCATACACATAAAAGGGCCAACTTAGTCAGGAGCCAATTAAGCTACCAGCATGTCTTTGGAGTGTGGGAGGAAACCAGAGTACCTAGAGGAAACCCACACAGACACAGGGAAAACATGCCAACTCCAGGTTTTATCTGAATCATCACTTAAAGAAGCTCTGTCATTAGAAATGTTATTTTTCAGTTCTATTCCCTCTGGGATGATGTAAATGTGGTATTTTGTCCCATGTTTAAGTGCTTTCTAACCAGTTATGCAGTCAGACTTGCCCCCTTCTCATCCTGCTGCAGCCAATCAGACAACAGCTTTGAAGGAGATGGTGGATTCATAGCTTGCCTCGGTTGTGAACAATTTCTTGAAACAAGCAATGGCAAGAGGAATGCAGAGGCAAACCCACCACCCCTCCCTCTGCATTCCGCTTGTCTCAGCAAATTGTTCACAGCCAAGGCAAGCTGAAGCTAAGAATTTACCATCTCCTTCAAAGCTGTGGTCTGATTGATTGTGACAGGATGGAAGGGGGGAAAGGTCTGATCTCATAACTATGGTTAGAAAGCACTCAGAAACATGGGGCTTTGTGTACTTTGTCCCATGGGAACATAATGGTGGGTAAAAATTCTAATGCTAGATCTTCTTTAGGGCTCTCCCAAACATTACCCTTTTCTTAGCAGGGTTAGGATGCAAACATGGTCAAATTAGCACAGTCCGTTTCTCGCATAGTTCCATAGCTTTTAAAGGACAGTAAATCTGAATTTGGTTAATTCCAAACTTGCATATATTTGTGCAAATACATGGCAAGTGCGAATATATATATATATATATGTGTGATTTTTCAATGCAATGCATGCAAACAGCATTGATGATACCAACCCAAAGTGCAGTCATCCAGTACAGAGAAGGTAATGTCTCTATCCTATTCAAACCTATTAAGGATACAGACTCTAATTACCTTCTCTGAATACAACACAGCTTCAGATTTTTGCTACTGTCTCAGGTGTACCCTGTCTGTCATGCAATGATTGTCTTATGCCGAACACCTACATACAATGTAAAGACACATGGTACTTACATCTTCAGACTCGAAGACATGGCAGATCATCTTGTACTGTCTCTTTCCATCTTGGGATGGGTGAGAAGCCTCCACATTGTCCTGAGAGTTACTGCGTGGCATTCGTCTGCGTGCCATCAGGACGACAATATTTCCAATATCGGCAATGTATGATATTGTCCTCAAAGGGTGATCCATCATTGTCTCCTACAAAAAAGCAGCATAAGAACAGATATTTGAGAGAAAGTGTAGCAGAAGAACAGAGACTAAGCCTCTTGAGACTGAGGAGCTGAAGCACAGCCAGGGCTCTGTTACATAGACTAGAGCGATTTCTTTCCCCATTTAACTTTCCTAGCCTCAATGTCAAAGATGACAGTTACTCAGTCAGCTACGAGGCATGTGAAGACCCAGTTTCTATAAGAAAGAGAATTGACAGATAGAAGTAAACAGACCAGAAGGCCAGGCCAGTCCTCAAGGAGCTCTGGCTAAAAAGCTAGGATCGAATGTTCTCACACAATGAGTGGACAAAGGAGAAAACCTACAAGACCGTAGGCCATACTGACACGCAGTACAGTACTGGAGCAGGTAACTTAACAAGACTGCTGAAACCATAGAAAAACCACTTACCAGTTATCTTTTTCCTCAAACTCAGTTCTTATGACAAATACTTTAAGAAAGACCAGTGCCACAGTAAATTAGTATCCAACACTGCAGCACACAGGCTGCATTAATGGCAACCTTACAGAGCTATACGAACCCAGTGCTACCACTACTTGTACATAACATTCCCAACCATATTGGACCTTTGGTGCTGATGAGCCCTACGTAAAGATAATGAAGACAAAACCTAAACACTTCAGATTTGACCTCGAATAGGCTGATTTGTTTGGTACCTGGGAAATACATATATTTTGTATTTATGTTTTTTAACTTAAATCCCTCTGCTTTCTGTTTGTCATGAGTATTTTATTAGTCAGAACATTGACCTTTTTGGTACAGACCAGCCATGACACCAGAGACATTTTTAACTGTCTGTAAGGGTGACAACTGAACTGTGACTGTAAGGAGGAGAATTCCTCCAACTGACCAACAATGTAAGGGACATTCTTTCCACTGGCCACCAATATAAGGGAGATTCTTTCCATTGGCCACCAATGTAAGGGAGATTCTTTCCATTGACCACCAATGTAAGGGTCATGCTTTCCATTGGCCACCAATGTAAGGGACATTCTTTCCACTGGCCACCAATGTAAGGAACATTCTTTCCACTGACCACCAATGTGGAGGAGGCGTTATTCCAACTGACCCTTCAATTTAAGGAACATTTTTCCCATTGAACCCTAATGAACTGGTTTTAGTAAAGGTTCCCTGAGACCTGAAAATGATTTTAGGGGTTCCTCTGGGTTAAAACAGTTGAACAAGGCTGGTAATCGAATGGAGGTAGAGAGGGAAGAGTTGATTGCTATCAAAATATGTTTTTAAAAGCATGACCCTTTTTATTTATTTAATATGAAAAAACATTAAACAAATAAATAAGTAAAAACAAAGCCAGTACTGAATAATCCAATCCTATAAAAATGGATTTACCATGTATGCCAGGCAAAGTGCTTGTTCATCTGTGGTCATGTGGTCTGCTAACACAAGATAAAGAGAAATATTCAAAAATATCATCCACAGATTCCTAAACCTGTATCAATGTGGAATTTTGAAAGTCCAGTTGAACTTTCAGTTGTAGTGCCGGTTCACACTGATGTGGTACGGTATTCACAGCGAATGCTGTGCATTTCCTGCCAGGCATCAGAATTGCTCTGTCTGTGTTAACAACACCCCAAACAGGGTCACAGAACGCAGTGCGATTGGGTGAATTGGATCACATGGGATACCAGTGCAAAAAAAAAAAAAAAATAATAAAATGCATGCACCTTTCCTGCGGGTGCAATTTGAGCTATACAAAATGACTGGATAAAATCGCACTGCAAAGAATCGCATGTGATTTGAACAGGAATGTGGTACGATTCCTGCCTGAATCACACGTGACCCTAAATCAGCTAAATATATATTAGGTGCACCAAAACAGCAGGTGTTCAACAGCAGAACCCTCCCTTGATCTCTGTGTGGAAATAGTAGTCTGACATGCCTCCTGCTAAGCCAGACCTATAGTGAGATACCTATAACACCTAAATCAGCCAAGCACAAGCTCCCTGCTGATTGGAGAGCTCAAGCTCTGACATAGCAGGGGGTGGGCCAGACCTCTAAAGAGAAACCAGCAAGTTGACAGGGGACAGGCTTTTCAACACAGGATGTACCTGCTGTGTAAAGAAAGCAAACTGTAAGAGTTTACACATATTTTGTTGTAATGCACCTTGAATGTATTTAGAGGTTTCAAACTGAAAGTTCTGTTGTTGGCCTTAAAGTGTTACTAAACCCAGGACTCTGCATTCTCGCTACCTGGTCTTCCACAGTACACAGAACATGGAAATGCAACTATTTTAGTAAATATAAAACTGCTAAAAACCTTTTCTCATCAGCAATTAGAGCAGTCTTGTGACTTCTATCAGTGTTTAGCAGAACACTGGTTAAAGCTTGTAGACGTTTTCTTTCTGCTCTAGGAGGATGCAGAACCTCTGACCACTGTCTGGACAGTGCTGATTAACCCTCTGCTGATCGCATGCACTCCACCCCAAAAAAAAAACAACCTCTCCAGCAATACACACAAAACTGAGCATGTGCAGAGTAACTCCACACAATATGTCTTATCAGGAGATAAGAAGGGGACACTGGAAGAAGGGCAGGAACAGAGAAGTCAGGATCAAACATTGTTTTTACACAATGCAGAGGATTAACCCCTTAGGTACCACAGTGAGTATAACAAGCATACTTTACTGCATATACAGACTAATTTTATGTTGTGGGTTTAGTAACACTTTAAGAACTTCATGAAAAAAATATTTCTGTCTTTACGGTTTACAGTAATTTGCTAAAGCAGTGCTGCATGCTATTAATGAATGAAAAAATGACTGATGATCATATGAAATAAATATCAGTCTTTTTAATGGAAAAAGCAGGAATTATTGTCCTAACCTGTAGTTTGACATACTACATTTCAAATTAAAAGTAGGCTCATTTGCATTACACTGCCCTTAAATGTGAGATATTTTTCACCATTCAAAATTCATAGAAAATTTACAACTAAAAAAAAGAAATGGACCAAGTTGTGGACACTGAGTGCTATACACACCCCAATAAACTTTCATCAAAGTACACAGGATGTATGTTTTACACTCTATCCTTCTGCTGCTCGCCCCCTTGCACTTGCTGCCTGCTCTCAACCTAAAAGCTACTGCTGTCAAAAGTAGACTACCTGACAGTGTTACTTTTGTATCAACTATGTTTCATGCATCTGCAGATCAAAGGGATAACTTTGATCTGAACATGATGTGCATTAAAGCAAACTGGCAAGTAAAATTAAAAACAAAACATTTTTTTTTCCCTCTAAATAAAATGTGTTGCTATTTAACCCCTTATTAACCCTTTACTTACACTAATCAGTTCTAATTAACTCATTATTCTACTATTCCCTCTTCTCCCCTTATCCATTGGTTTTCTGATGACTTTTTTGATTGCTTCTAATTTCCGAACCTTTGTTTTTGTTTTGTTTGTTTCTGTGCTTTAGTGTTGCATTAAAAATACCCCCCACAAAAAAAAAAAAAATTAGTATGTAAATTATGGCTTCAATGCTTTGTATCAGAATCATAGTTTTGGTGTCATTATAAACAGGAGATACTACAGAATAACTTTTTAAATGAACACTGAGCAAATCAGAGAAAAAGCGTACTTCTGTTTTTGGATAAATCATTGCTGTGAGGCAACACCAAAAAACGTTTTTGTCGTACATATGTATTACTTTCGTTATCTTGAAAAATTACAAAGATATTGCTGAATCAACAGGCCCACAGTACTGATTTAAAAATTGCTCTGGTCTATACAGGGTGTGTAGCCTTGAGAGCTAAACTGATTATAGTGTAACTTTAGTCAGAAAATTAAGTCCTGCTAGGTCGCTTCAGGCTGGTCCCTTTTGCAGGTATACCTATGTAAAACATTAAAAAAAAAAAAATGACTATACTGTTTAAAATCCAGTAATACACAGTCTCACCCTGCTCTACACATGCTCAGTAGCTCTCTATTTTTCATCACTGTGCCAAAAATGTAGAGGACAATCTGCTAACATACTAAAGACTTACTGCTGCTCAGGGGCTCTTTGCTTTGGAAAAATGGCAGCCTCTGGCAAGAAAGAGCAGCAATGCTGGGATCAATTTACAGCACACACTAATTTTGGTAGCATAATTATTAACGTGGAATGTAAGTTCCTCGCTAAAAAACATTTTTTTAACAAGTTGTTATGGGTAAAGTTCTGCTTTAAGGCTGAACTTCAGTCAAACAACTAAATATGCAGATGAAGTTCATATAAAAGGATAGGTTTCACCTGCTAAAGAATTTGTATTTGTGTCAATCCAGCCACACTGGTGTTAAGATGCAGCCACTAGATTCTAGTGGAAAGAATCAGCTGACTACATCCAGCCTTGGATATCCATTCCTAACTACATGTAACCGCTTTGCATGCGGCTACAGGCGAACAACGACAGCCTTTGTCAGCCTTTCATTATTTAAATAGGCTTGCTTGCTGCTATTTACTTACCCTGGTCACTCCAGCTGCAAGAATCCACCGATTCTTGCCATTGGAATCCAGTGGCTGCATCTAGATGCCCATGTGAAGAAGGACTTGCACAACTCTGTTACACAGCACAGGCAGGGCAGGAGACCTAATTTTTCTCTGCTGCAGTTAGGTTACACTTACAGGTCTCTATCACTCTCCAGTCTGTGAATGGACAGTGAAAGAAGAAGGAACACATTTGCTTATCTGCCTATGTGCTCTCTCCTCCTAGCATACTACTTCTCCCTTTCCTTGTCTACTTCATAGTGAACTGCAAGCAGCTGACGACAAGTCAAATTCAGGTACTTGCACTGCATCTGCAGAATAAAAAGCAAAGGGAAATCTACCTACCAAGCCACGGGCACCAAAAAATAAACGAACAAGAGTTTTAACCCTTCCAAAACCAAAAAAATAAGGCTATACATACAGTCAGGTCCATAAATATTGAGACATCGACACAATTCTAACATTTTTGGCTCTATACACCACCACAATGGATTTGAAATGAAACAAACAAGATGTGATTTAACTGCAGACTGTCAGCTTTAATTTGAGGGTATTTACATCCAAATCAGGTGAACAGTGTAGGAATTACAACAGTTTGCATATGTGCCTCCCACTTGTTAAGGGACCAAAAGTAATGGGACAATTGGCTTCTCAGCTGTTCCATGGCCAGGTGTGTGTTATTCCCTCATTATATCCCAATTACAATGAGCAGATAAAAGGTCCAGAGTTCATTTCAAGTGTGCTATTTGCATTTGGAATCTGTTGCGGTCAACTCTCAAGATGAGATCCAAAGAGCTGTCACTATCCGTGAAGCAAGCCATCATTAGGCTGAAAAAACAAAACAAACCCATCAGAGAGATAGCAAAAACATTAGGCGTGGCCAAAACAACTGTTTGGAACATTCTTAAAAAGAAGGAACGCATCGGTGAGCTCAGCAACACCAAAAGACCCGGAAGACCACGGAAAACTGTGGTGGATGACCGAAGAATTTTTTCCCTGGTGAAGAAAACACCCTTCACAACAGTTGGCCAGATCAAGAACACTCTCCAGGAGGTAGGTGTATGTGTGTCAAAGTCAACAATCAAGAGAAGACTTCACCAGAGTGAATACAGAGGGTTCACCACAAGATGTAAACCATTGGTGAGCCTCAAAAACAGGAAGGCCAGATTAGAGTTTGCCAAACGACATCTAAAAAAGCAGGAACTGAAGACAATTGCAGTAGAGGCCTGGCAGAGCATCACCAGGGATGAAACCCAGCGTCTGGTGATGTCTATGCGTTCCAGACTTCAAGCTGTAATTGACTGCAAAGGATTTGCAACCAAGTATTAAAAAGTGAAAGTTTGATTTATGATTATTATTCTGTCCCATTACTTTTGGTCCCTTAACAAGTGGGAGGCACATATGCAAACTGTTGTAATTCCTACACCGTTCACCTGATTTGGATGTAAATAACCTCAAATTAAAGCTGACAGTCTGCAGTTAAAGCACATCTTGTTCATTTCATTTCAAATCCATTGTGGTGGTGTATAGAGCCAAAAATGTTAGAATTGTGTCGATGTCCCAATATTTATGGACCTGACTGTATATGAGGGTTCCTCAAAAAGTACGTGTGTGTGTATATATATATATATATATATTTTTTTTTTTTTAATTTAATTTTATTTTAATAAAATAGAGTTTTGAAAAAGTTCGGAAACCTTTTGAAGAACCCTCGTGCATTAAAGCTGAAATGTATGTATGACTATAGTAGCATAGTTCCAGTGGACCTGGAAGATTCCAGTAGAAGCTGGAAATCACTGTAGTAGGCACTGCTACTACAGTGATTGCTACAGGTTTCCGGGTCTCGTGCTGAGCAGGTGCTCTGCTGCAAGGGCACCATTCAGAGAAAAAGTATTTTCAAATGAAAGTATTCTCTGATTGGACGAGGTGAAGATTGTGATGTCTCCATCCCGCCTCTCCACCTCATCCAACCAGAGAGCAATTTGTGTTTACTGAGAAAATGCAAAGTTTTCTCTAAATGGTGTCCTTGAAGTAGAGCACCTGCTTGGCACGAGACCCAGAAGCCTGTAGCGATCACTGTAGTAGCAGTGCCTACTACAGTGATTTCCAGCTTCCACTGGGATCTTCCAACTATGACACATGCATTAAGATGCCAGTCCAAGCCTGAGGTGAGGTGTCTGAGCTTGAAGAATGGTTCCCAGGAATTTGTATGCTATACATCACCAAAGATGAATCCAGATGACAGCTAAAGTTTAACATCATAACATACAACTCTGAAAGGTTAATAATTGCAAGTGGTTCTTGTAAGATTTGTGTCACAGCCCAACCCCCTCCTACATCCCACAGTAAAAACATTACTAATAATGATTTCGCTTATCGTCATTTGCAGAATATATAAAGCAAGGACTCAGTGCCCTTGATCTAGATTAAAATAAATGCTAGCGGTCTCTTTTTAATGAAAAGTGTACAGTCATTCAATGACAAATTAACCAAATATATCCACAGAGTGATTTATACATACTTGTGTGTCAGCATTCAATACTTTTATTCTCTGCGTAGAAATAAATAAGTCCACTTCTGTCATAGGCTGAGCTTCCCCTTCTGCAGCCTAAAAACAGAGCAAAAGAGCATTAAGAATCTAAGAAATACAATTTTTATTTTGCTGTAAGACAGGCAATTGTAACACCAATTCTGTTATCAGAACAGGAACTAAAAATATTAACGGCATTAATTTAAGAAAGATGCAGACTGTAGTTTACGGTATACACAGTCCATACACACGATTTTGAACATATAGGTGTTCATCCAATCTGTGCTTTTTTGCAGATTTTTTTATATCTTTTCATAACTTTTTACATTTATAGGATAAACTGTAAAGTGCTTCCAACAACAGAAAAAATGTTTGTGATGATAAATTTATAACCTGCTTTTCATTTCAAGTGAGCAGCAAAAAAATAAAGTTTGTAAACAAGTACATGTACTTCCTTCGAACTCTAAAGACACTTAACAGAGTTCAATTGCTGAGAAGCCTACACTGTCCTCATAGCTGCTAGCATTCTGACCCCACTTCTCTAAATTCTGCGTGAATCAAAATACAGAAAGAAATGACAGCAGCTAGGAGGATGGGTCTGGTACTAACAAATAATCTTTCCTTCAGGACATAGAACGCAAGTGGAATTATTTCATGAATTATTTAATATAAGGTGAATTGATCTTTAAAGCAAAGCTTGCAGTAGAACGCAAAGCCTGTACAGTATATACTGAAACATCTGGGTCCCTAACCACCTAATGCTAGTAGTCCCAAAATATACCTGTAGAGAAAAAGTTAGATTCAGGGCTCATTCACACAGGTGTAAAAATAAGTATGCATGTATAAATGAGGCCTAAATCTAGCTTTTTTTCCTCTATGGGTACATTTTGAGACTACCCGATTTTTTTAAGGTGGTAGGAGACCCTGACAGTATATGTGGGTTTTGCATAAATAAAGAAGAAAAAAAAATATATATATTTTATTTATTTATAGCATGGTTTCAGTACTGTTCTGATGGACAGACTTTCTTCTATACAAAAGCACAATGATTCAAGTACAATCAGCAGACATAAACAGAACTAGTAAGTTAAATGCAAAAGTAACATTAAATTAAATAGAAAATGATACATGTATTTCTAACATCTTTTTGTCAAGTTGTGCTTAAAAGTAAGTTCCATTTTTATGCTTGTTTTCAGCTATGGTATTTGCCAAGTACAAAACACACAGGCCTGAATATATATGTCACAAATTAGCAAGCCTCTATGATTTCCACCAATTTCTGACAGTCATCTTTCACTCGACTATTGTAGATATTTTATCATAAGACTGATGGAATGAACAGATGGCCAGTGACAAAAAGAGGAGAAATGGCTAATTGGAAAGAAAAACAGCAAATTGTGAAAAATGAGAAAACTATGGTATTTACAAACAAAAATGAAGAAAAAAAAGGGAAAATGCAAAAACAAAATGTAAACAAGCATAACATCAAACTGATGAGATTGTACTGCACCTTCTTCCTGCTTTTGGCTAATTTCTGGGCCATCTGCTTAGCATGAAATAAACAGAGACAGGAATATGGTTAGCGAATAGATTACAGATGATAATTCTAAATGAGGATATAGTGGGCTTGGCAGAATCATGGGTGCAAATGACAGAGCAAATCAAAATGTTTTTTTCTTCCAATTCTGGTCAATGCTGTGCATAACAACTATAGACTTTCCAGCAGGTTACATCATATTAGCATTAAGAAACAAGGATTTTTTTTTTTTTTGTTTCAGACAAAAACTGGGTGAAACATAAAAGTAACAGCAATGGAGGTAACCGATATTTAAATATGGATACAGCATTGCACAAAGATGAAGATGCAGGGAATGTAACCCTTCATCCCTACGTTTTAGTTCATTCTAAGATTAGGGTGATACCCATAAATTTATGAAACGTACAGTATTTCATAACAACCAATCAGATTTTAGCTTAATGTTAGCACAGTGACAGATGAATTATTGGTTACTATGGGTTACTGCAAGCTGTATGTTAGCCTACACCTCTAAAATATAATAAATGAAAGTCAAAGGATTTCAAAATTTTCCAGTTGTAAATGTCGATTGAATTTCATGGATTGAATGTTACTAATATTTGACAGTGAGAAAGGTGAGATGAGGCTGATGTGCTAGTAGTAGTATATGCCTCTTTGTCCCTGTGACCTAAAAATGCAACATATCCCTACACATCCTTGTGTCTCTTCTGTATTACTTATATAATGCAAGATTTCCCAAACCAAGTTCATGGTAAATATTTAGCATTGCTCCGTATTAGCCATCGACTGACACAGGAAATTTGGAGTTTAAGTGATACCCTTTATTGGCAACTTAAGTTATTAAAGATGCAAGCTTCTGGGGCACCTTAGATCCTTTTTAGGCTTTACACAACTACCAGGTAAATGTTTGGAAAGAAAAAAGGTAATGAGCACCATTACATTTAAGTATCTACCAAGACACAAATAAATCTCAATAATAAGGACATTGAAGTAATACCGAATGTCCACCATCCTTTCAAATCTACTATTCCTATGCTATTTGACTGGGGTATACTTTCATCTCATTTTATGCTATTGACTATTCTCAAGTCCCCTGAACTGAGCCCTGAACACCAGACACCATGCACAGTGTTGCATTCCCTGAAAAAGCAACAGAGAGCTCTAATGAATTCCACGAGGATGCCCATATGTGATAAAACAGGGCTGCAAAGTACAAAAAAAGGAAAAACAAAACAAAATTGAGTTACATTAGTAACGTATCTTGCAATATATTCTGTTTACAGTGCAAAACACTTTCCAATAGTCCTGATAAAGAAGTAATCAGAGGACTAAACAGTGACACTTCAGCTTTAGAGTATTGTAAGACAGAGGGCAGCTGATTGGTGTAACGCTACCCCCAATAATCATAATCAGACTCAGTGTGGGGCTTTTCAATATATTTGTCAGTGTGGAAACCCCCTTAGAACAACAAATATATATAATAAGTTTACACATTTTCTTTAATAAAAATATAGATTTCTTGTTTAAAACACTAGGGTTGGCTACTATTTTATTCTTTAAAATACATTGCCCAATAAATCAAGGACTTTGCATACTATAATGCTAAAGACAGAAAAAAAAAAAAAAAAAAAATTAAACATTAAAATAAAAATATATATATATATATATATATATATATATATATATATTTATATTTATTAGTTACATGGTGCATTCATATGCTCACCTTAATTCGACTAACAGCTTCCTGTGCTTGCATCATGCGCACGTTTTTTGAGGGAGTTTTGTCAGAGAGTAGCTGTGTGGAGCCGAGGTAATTTGCAGCAAAAATAATGCCATCTATCAAGTCTTCAGGATCACAGGGTCCTGGCACTAAGAGAAAATTTAAAATATATATTAATTTTCCTGTAAGAATTTTTAAATTGACAAGTGTATTTGATCATTTTATTACAGAATTTTATCACAGATGATTAAAGTCACAAATCTAACCAGAGCTGCAAAACAAGAAAATCAACAAAACACCCCATGGTACCAGCATAAAATGAGAAAAAAAAAAAAAAGTAGTATTACCAGAATTAACTGCAACATTTTCCAATGTGAAAAGGTAAGGTTCACTACCTTCCCAGCTGCAAATTTGGCATGATAATTCTAAGGTTTTATTATTTTTTATTCTTAATTTGCTGTGCGAATGTAACAAGCATTCGTACAATCGTCACAAATTGCTCTAATTTGCCAAGTATGTTTATTTCCTCCATCTAGTGGCCATAATGTGATATTTTCCTGAAATAACATAATAGGAAAAATATAGAATTATGGCTACTACAAGGAGTCAAATAATCACCGGAAGGCAAATAATGTGAATTATTTGTGATTGTTATATATATTGCACAGAAGTAGGACTCATGAAACACTGCTATAGTTATTTAAAGTAGCCCTACTATTGCAAACAGAAGGTTTACTTGTAATGCCAGCCCCCTGTCCCCAACACAAATGGCTTTAAAAATGGGAATAAGGACCTAATGCGCCATAAATCCATTTCTTGAAGTTTGAGGGATGCGGGAATTCAGAGACTGTTGGGTCATACTGAGGAGAATTTGGACACTAGCAAAGAAAAAAAAAAATGTGCCCAGCCCAGCACAATTTCTCCTACTCACAGTATTCCTTTGTTTTTTTGCAAGCAATACCATGAACCCGAACATAGAAAGTCAATTTTCTTTCTTGTTCATTGAGAGACACACAAATTGAGAGACTGTCCTAACACAATCAAACTGAGAGGAAGCCAACGGCGACAAAGTACTAACATGCTGATAAAAAACACAGAACTGGGGATTACCTGTAGCTCAAGGAGTCATCTGATGGACCTTACTCTCAAAGCTGGCATCAGATGAGGCCTGAAATACTACTTGGTTGGCACTGAGGCATGCCTAACAAAGCTAATGAAGACTCAGAGGATTGCATAGACTCAACAGAGGGCAAAATTCCAGGGTATCAATGTCATGCCCTTTAGAGAGTGCACTGCAAGCAGCACCGGAGTGGTTAGTGCATTGTTAGCTGAAATGTGTTTAGCATCTGACATATTGCACCACAAGACAATGCTCTGCATACTCATGAACCAGCTGCAGATAGCAGGAGAGGTTAAAGCAGACTGAGGGCATAGGTTGCTGTAGGGGGGCAGTAGAGGTGAACCCAGGATAGAAGCATGTTTCACTCGCACTCAGGAACAGCAGCAGGAAGGTGCTTCTTTAATGATGCATGGTGGGATAGAGAGCACAGGAGCATGCAACACTCCACTCAGCAGATGACATCAGAGCTCAGTCTTTCAGTATTAATCACAGATCCATATAGCTATATATGGAAACCAACTTAAGTAGCTTGGAGAGGCATCTTGTTTGTAGAAGAAAGTAATCTTGGTTGAAGGAAAAAATAGCAAGCAAAAGGTTATACATTTTGCAGCAGAACAGAGACAAAACATGTTGGTCATCCCAAAAGGTGACATGTTGATCTTAGATTTTGGTGGGGCATTCCAGAATTCTTTCATTGTTAATTTGTGTGGCAGTATAACCCAACAGTCTTTGAATTCCCCAGCCTCCAATGCTTCAATGACATAGGGGTTACCATTGCTCCTCCTGGCAGAGGTGGGAGCTCAAAATGTGCTCAAGTGAATTCCTGCAGAATTTTGAGTGTCAAGCTATACCAGGGAGAAAAATGAAGACACATACAGTCATGGCCAAAAATACTGGCACCCCTTCATTTCTGTCAGATAATGCATCACTTTGCCCACAGCATTGTTGCAGTTACAAAGGTTTAGGCATTCTCAGGATTCTTTTGTTTGTATTGGAATGACACAAAAAAGTGGAGAAACAAAAAGCCAAATCTGACTCATTCCACGCAAAACTCCAAAAATTGACTGGACAAAATTATTGACACCTTCTCAAAACTGTGATGCTCCTGTAATTTTTAAATAAACTCACCTGTATCAAGTAATGACAATATAAATGTCATACCAGCAACCAGTTAAATTGGTAAAAAAAACTGACTTAGACTTTCTGTTGTGTTTCTCTGTGTGCCGCATGGAGAAGAGAAAGAGCAGAAAACAATTTCTGAGGATTTGATAACAAAAATTATAGAAAAGCATGAACAATCTCAAAGTTACAAGTCCATCTCCAGAGATCCTAATGTTCCTGTGTCCACTGTACACAACATTGTTAAGAAGTTTACAGCCCATGGCACTGTAGCTGATCGTGACCGTGTGCATGGCATTATGAAATCTGAAGACCACTTAATAATTCTGGGGTGCAATGTAGGACCCAGTGTCAGAAAGTTGGGTCTCCGTCCTTACAGAAGGACAATGACCCAAAACACACGTCAAAAAACACCCAGAAATGATTTAAGACAAAGCGATGGACAGTACTGAACTGGCCAGCAATGAGTCCAGATCTCAATCCCATAGTGCACCTGTGGAGAGATCTCAAAACAGCAGTTGGGAAAAGGAACCCTTCCAATCTGAGAAACCTGGATCAGTTGGTGAAAGAAGAGTGGTCCAAAATTCCAGTAGAGAGGTGTAAGAAACTCATTGATGATAACAGGAAGCGATTGATTTCAGTTATTTTTTCAAAGGGGTGTGCTACCAAACATTAAAATTGAGGGTGCCAATAATTTTGCCCAGTCCATTTTTGGAGTTTTGGGTGGAATGTGTCAAATTTGACTTTTTGTTTCTCCACTTTTTTGTGTCATGCCAATAGAAACAAAAGAAATAACCAGGAGAATGCCTAAATGTTCTTAATTGCAACAATTTTCTGGACAAAGTGGTGCATTATGTGACAGAAATGCAGGGGTGCCAAAATTTGTGGCCATGACTGTATGTTACCCAGAGCTGTCAAAGGCCAAAGGTTTCTTTTTTGGGATAGGCGGAGGGGAACAGAGGTTTGTTTACAAATGGATTTTTTAACCACCTGACCTCCGGTAGATTTACCCCCCTTCCTGACCAGGCCATTTTTTGCGATACGGCACTGTGTAAAATTTATGTCCTTTTTTTCCCCCATAAGAAGAGCTTTCTTTTGGTGGTCTTTGATCACCTCTGTGGTTTTTACTTTTTGCATTATAAACAAAAAAAGACCGACAACAGTGAAAAAAAAAACAAAAATTTTTTATTTTCTACTATAAAATATATCCAATACAAAAAGTACAATACAAAGTAAAATACAAGTAGTGACAGTGATCAGCGACTTATAGCAGGACTACAATATTGCAGCAGACATTTTGACACTGACACTTTGGGGGGACCAGTGACACTAATACAGTGATCATTGCTAAAAATATTCACTGATCACTGTACTAATGACACTGGTTGGGAAGGGGTTAACATCTAGGGTGATCAAAGGGTGTGCCTAGCTATTTGCTTGGTGTACATTAGATGGCGCTGGTAGAAGAGGAAGTGCTGGATTGTGTTCCCAGCTCTGCAGGGACACAGGACTGATCACTTTCCCCTGTCATAACACATAGGCACAGCTCTGTTTTTCCTTCTTGCCCGACGATCTGCGGGTGCCGAAGAAGATCTGTTCACCTGAACTCGCAGATTGGCTTCTGCTGTTACATCTCACAGCAGAAGCGATCCACCAGTGGCACGCCTGCACCCCCATGTGGCAAAAGTGCAAAATCACGTATATATACGTGATTTTGCACAGGAGAGCTGCCCTGTAGCGGTAAAGCTACAATGGACTGTACTTCAAATGGTTAAACAAGGTGGCTGGAAAAAAGCAGATCTTTCATTTGCTATGAAGGTCTACTTCATATTGAGTTCCAGTCAAAACTTTGGGGCTCCTTCTGACTCTTGTCAAGTGTTTAGCAGGCACCTGAACGCCCTACTTTTAATTTTTGAGAGTAGTTTTTTGTACACAGTGACAGATGTGTTTTTTATTTAAAATACAAATCTATACTCAAGTTTGACTGTCTAACAAGGATTCATTAGCACACTTGATAATAGAACACAGAAATAAGTAAATAAAAATGAAGTATATAATTGCTGATTAAAAGCAGCAGAGAACCTCCCACTTTCACACATGTGACAGAGGCACTTTCTGTCCTTTTAGCCTCAAGGTGCTGACCAGGAGTTTGGCAGGCATACCCAACATGCGTTTGTCTCGGATTATAAGATACTGTCTTTAGAGGGTGGAAAAGCTGTTCCACTGAGGCACTGCAATTATTCTAATTTAACTCATAAAATGACATTCAAAAACTAAGTATATTAAGTTAATTACATTTATTAGGTTAAATTAAGCAGAATTTGAGCACTGAAATTAAGACAGAATTTAGTTTTGGAGCTCAACTTAGTATTTGCATAAAGTAGGGAAGTATTTACCTCTAGCAGGTTTTTATTGCTAATTGTAAGCTCGAAAGAGTAGGGCCCTCTAGCCCCTCGTGTGCTGTTTGTTGTTGCTGTGCTGTTTCATGTATTGTCCCCCCCTCTATTGTACAGCGCTGAGCAAACCCTTTGGCGCTATATAAATTCGATGTAATAATAATAATTGTTTCCATTTCTGCCTACTTTCTGTGTAATCACTGGTACAATACATTTAAATTAAAAATTTGGTTTGAATGTAGTTTTAATTAGCAAGTTTTCAAATGTCAGAAAAAAGTGTAGCTCTTAGCATTGAATACACATAAACAAAAAAAAAAACAAAAATCACATTTCGAGTTCAACCTAAAAAAGGGTCTTACATCATAAATACAAAAATGTGGAAAGCAGTATTAACATGTATATAGAATATGAGATCACAATTTCTTTTTCAGAGGAAAAAGAGGAACTCAGACATCGTATACATGTCATGCATTTAAGACTAACAATAAGTTCCTGGCTATATACCTAAGGAGGAAGATATCATCAGTACTAAATGACGAGATGAATAATTAAACATTATCCTCTCAGAAAGTGGGTAGGGGAAAGTTAGAGTTCTAGTGTGTATTTATGGGGAGATGTCTATGCACACACCCAGGTGTCCCACATCCACTCGAAGGTCACAAGACTATTATTCTTATTATTTTCTACAAGTTTAACTTGTCAAATGTGAGAATATAATTGTGTATTGTGGGTCCATGTGTCTGCTTCCAATATGAAGCAATCAACTATCTGGAAGTAATTTTCTGGCAACCCCAGACACCTTCGGCGGTGGAAATCCCAATAAATACAGGGATGGGCTTAACAGGATCTTTAAATTTCAAATTTGACCTAGAAATGCCTGTGCTCATGTGATAGTGACCTTTTCTTCAGGTTTGCTTTTGATATTTCATGAAAACACTGCTGTACATTTTCAATACAACATTTTCTAAAGTTCAGTTTGAACCAAATTGTTTTACAAGTCTTGGATGGTGTTTAAAGTGGTAAAGGGGTACAAACTTTTCCAGGGTTTGACTGAAGTTCAATTCTGGAGAAGATTTCTGCTCACTTTCAGTTATGCATATTTACTAGGATGGGAAAAGGTTCGAACCCTGCCAGGATTCTTATGTTTTGTATTACTACTATGACATGAATTGATGGAAAATCTCAGACAGCAATAAAAATCTGCATCTTTTCTAGTTAAAGAAAACCTGTTGTAAGATTTAGGATGCCATTGCTGCCCTCTCCTTCTGAGGGTGCTTATTGCCGGTTGTCATGCTGAGTCTTTGCTGTAATGTTATGTTACTAACCAGAAACAAATTCACACATAATACTGAAACTTCAACGACTTTCATTTACTGCATAGTTGATTTGGGTCTGTCTTTAGAACCTAAGCCAGAAAGAGCCAGGCAACTATCAGTTTGAGAAAGAGGTCATCACTCCAACTTTTTGACTCTTGGCATGCAACTCAGCACACAAAAGGCTAATACCAGCCTCAGAACAATTTTATTTTGGCAATTAGCAAAACTTAACCAAGTGACATTTTAAATTATCAAAAGTAGAACTTCTCATTCTTACCTTCTACGTAGGTTGGGAAGGAAGCCAGGCTCTTCCTTGACTGTAATCAAGATAAATACAGTTGATTTAAACAGATTAAAAAAACAAATGCAGGGAAGTAGAAGAAATTACTTCATGCACAAATCACACACAAAACAGCGAAATGCAGCTTGACAGCCACTAGTAAAGACAAATTAGATTGTTTTCAAACAATTAGTTATTTAGGGAATTTTTCAGGCTTCTTTTATTAGCATGTTTAGATAATTAAGCATTTCAGAGTTGAATTTGAAGACTCCTAGCATGGATGGTTTTGTAATGCTTGCAAACTGCATGCTACCTCTTGAAGGCACAGCTTAGGAGACTGTCATCTGGTCTCTGAAATTCCAGGGGCTGAAACTGAAATTATGGTAAAATATTCACATCTCCAATGCGCAATTTCATGCCCATGGTGCTAGGAGGAAAACAAACCAGCTGGCTAAATAGAAGGCACAAACACAGTAGAACATGAAGCCAGACAAACTAGCTTGCATATTTAATCATATTTGAGTGCTCATTACACCTGCAAATATTAACTGTTTGTACAGTAAGTAGGGCAATGAGCTATGGGAAGAACATGGCAACAGCAACCGATCCCAGTTCTATTTTCATTTAGAAAACTACTGATTGGCCATGGAGTTACTGCACTTTGCCTTATAAACACCATCTTACAATCAATGGTCCAAAATAAAGTGTAATGTGCAAATTCTCAACATGTTCAGTAATTTTTTTAAAGTGGGAACACACCAAAATGTTTGCCTTGATAAATTGATTGATAAACTAGTAAACATCCATATTGGTTACTATATGTTAATAAACCTTTTATCTTTTATAGATTTAAGATACATTTCAATGCGTATTTTGAGGAAACATGAACTTAAGTTTAAAGTCCAGCCTTCGATTTGTTAGGAGCCCAAAAGGGTTAAATGTCACAGTGACACAGTCAGGAACTCCAGGAAACAAACCACATCATGCGGAGAAAATCTAATTAGCTTGTCAGTACTATAATCCATTACTGTCCTCAAAATGTGAAGATTTCCTGTCTTATAGGGATCACCTTTTACTATAAATTTCTCATGAAAAATAAGTAGTTATTACTACCAGGTACTCCTGTGCCTACAGACTTATAGCTGTACATCTATAGTGTGAGAACATTCAAAGCACTGATAATAATGACGGTTAGTCTCACAGGGTAAGATTTTGTGATTTCACTACTGTGAAACCTACTGTTCTCCTAGCTGGAGAGAAAACTGTACCTGAGGATCTGCAGTGCAAGGATCTCCTTGTTTCTAAGTCACAGAGACACAACATGTGACAACGCATGGTAAATCAATAATGCAAAAATGATCAGCTTTGGAGAGCCTACAGGTAATACTGGTGACTGGTACTGTGCCCTCTGCTTGTCTTTTTGGACACAAATTCAACAATACAGGTAATCCCTTGAAAGCCAATGCATCCTTTCTCAGCAGACTTAGCCTGTGACATGCTGACTTTCCATTATTATATAGTAGTTCATTAGGTAAAGGTTATGAACCTTCATGTAAAACAAATCATTACCAGAGGAACAGAGCTAATCAGAATGAGCTGTAAAATAGTGTGAGAACATCACACAGATAAACTGTATATCTAATTGTTATTGATTATAATTAGATACAGCCCTGGCCAAACGTTTTAAGAATGACACAAATATTAATTTAACCTGCAAGGAAACGAGTGCAGTCACTGCTCTGCACAAAAAAGGGATTTACAGGCAAGGATATTGCTGCTATTAAGAATGCACCTAAATCAACTATTTATTGGATCAAGAACTTCAAGAAGAAAGGGTCAATTGTTGTGAAGAAGACTTCAGGGCACCCAAGAAAGTCCAGTAAGAGCCAGGACCTTCTCCTAAAATTGATTCAGCTGCAGGATTGGGGCACCACCAGTGCAGAGCTTGTTCAGGAATGGCAGCAGGCAGGTGTGAGTGTATCTGCATGCACAGTGAGGAAAAGTCTTTTGGAGGATGGCCTCTCTCCAGGAAAAATATCAGGGACAGACTGATGTTCTGAAAAAGGTACAGGGACTGGACTGGCGTAAAGACATTTTCTCTGATGAATCCCCTTTCTGATGGTTTGGGGCATCCGAAAAAACATTTTCTGGAGAAAAAAGGTGAGCACTGCCATCAGTCCTGTGTCATGCCAACAGTAAAGCATCCTGAAACCATCCATGTGTGGGGGTTGCTTCTCAGCTCACTCACAATTTTGCCTAAGAACACAGCCATGAATAAAAAATAGTACAAAAACATCCTCCGAAAGCAACTTCTCCCAACCATCCAAGAACAGTTTGGTGACAACATGATGGAGCACCATGCCCCAGACCTTAATCCCATTGAGAACTTGTGGTTAATCCTCAAGAGGTGGGTGAACAAAAAAAAAAAAAAAAAACACAAATTCTGAAGTCCAAGCATTGATTATGCAAGAATGGGCTGCCATCAGTCGGGATGTGGCCTAGAAGTTGATTGACAGCATTCCAAGGCGAATTGCAGAGGTCTTGAAAAAGAAAGGTCAACACTGCAAATATTGACTCTTTGCATAAACATAATGTAATTGTCAATAAAAGCCTTTGACACTTATGAAAGGTTTGTAATTATACTTCAGTATACCATAGTATCATCTGACAGAAAAGATCTAAAAACACTGAAGCAGCAGACTTTGTGAAAAATAATATTTGTGTTACTCAAAGTTTTTGGCCAGTATAATATATGTATATTAATATAAAACTTACAATGTGCTATTACCGTATATACTCGAGTATAAGCCGACCCGAATATAAGCCGAGGTACCTAATTTTACCACAAAAAACTGGGAAAAACTATTGACTCGAGTATAAGCCGAGGGTGGGAACACCAGTGGGAAGAATCGTGCCTCATCATTGGTGTCAGTGGGAGGAATAGTGCCCCATCATTGGTGTCAGTGGGAGGAATAGTGCCCCATCATTGGTGGGAGGAATAGTGCCCCATCATTGGTATCAGTGGGAGGAATAGTGCCCCATCATTGGTATCAGTGGAGGAATAGTGCCCCATCATTGGTATCAGTGGGAGGAATAGTGCCCCATCATTGGTATCAGTGGGAGGAATAGTGCCCCATCATTGGTGTCAGTGGGAGGAATAGTGCCCCATCATTGGTGTCAGTGGGAGGAATAGTGCCCCATCATTGGTGTCAGTGGGAGGAATAGCGCCCCATCATTGGTGTCAGTGGGAGGAATAGCGCCCCATCATTGGTATCAGTGGCAGGAATAGTGCCCCATCATTAGTATCAGTGGGGGGAATAGCACCCCATTATTGGTGTCAGTGGAATAGTGCCCCATCTTTGGTGTCAGTGGGAGGAATAGTGTCCCATCATTGGTGTCAGTGGGGGGGTGGAGGAATAGTGCCCCATCGTTGGTGTCAGTAGGGGGGAGGAAAAGTGCCCCATCGTTGGTGTCAGTGGGGGGGGGAATAGTATCCCATGATTGGTGTCAGTGGGGGGTGGAATAGTGCCCCATCATTGGTGTCAGTGGGGGGGGGGGGGGGGGTGGGGGGGGGAAATAGTGCCCAATCGTTGGTGTCAGTGGGGGGGAGGAAAAGTGCCCCATCGTTGGTGTCAGTGGGAGGAATAATGCCCCATCATTGGTATCAGTGACACCAATGATGGGGCACTATTCCTCCCACTGACACTTGCTGACCCCTGTTCCAGTATGGTGCTGCTGCAGCCAGCATATGTGGTTGCAGCAGCACCTAAGCACGGCACACTTACCTGCATCTCCTTCACTCGATTCTCGTGGGGCCGCTCAGCTCCACCTCCTCGCCGGTGATTGGCCGCCTGTGTGCCTTTCCTGAGCTACAGTTCTGGCGGCCAATCACCGGTGAGAAGGCAGAGCCGAGCAGCCCGCGCGAACATCCAGTGGACAAACCGAATGAAGGAGCAGCCGCGCTTCTTGGACCGGATCGTCGTGGGACCGGAGCCAGGTAAAAGACAGCAGCCCCCTGCCCACCCCTGTACTTACCGTAGTTTCCCTTCTGTTGGAAGGGGGGGGGAGCCATCTGCAGACGTTGACTCGAGTATAAGCCGAGGGGGCCGTTTTTCAGCACACAAAATGTGCTGAAAAACTCGGTTTATACTCGAGAATAGCCAAAGCTCTTTTGGTTACCCGCCCCATGGGGATCACAGGAGTGCATTTCGTTTTGCATTCCTGTGACCCAGATTCAGCCGACAGCGGGCTTTAGCATCACAAAACCAGGCTCCCAACAAAAATGTGGGGATCTGTACACATGCCTGTCCAGCAGCAGGCTCAGCCTCCCAGCGTGTCGCTGGGAGACTGAGCCAGCCGCTTCCACCCCCACTATTCCTGACACTTCAGTGGGCACTGCAGAGGCAGAGCATAGAGCCAGTGACTGACGGTGATGACTGAGAACTGAGCAATCAGCGGTCTTTGACTGCTCAGTTCTCAGTATAAATGCAGCAGGGAACAGCTGCAGCATCGATGCTACATCCACCAGGAGGAGTATGAATGTTTATTATTTTTAAATCCCGCACCTCTCTTTTAAAAGTACGTTCACAAGGGAATAATGAACCATATCAACAAACAGAAGACTAACCTCTTTGTTTGAAAGGGATTCTGCGGAATCACAGGCATTCTGTCGATGTTGACGGTTTATAGATTCTGCTCCCTGCGTAGAAGAGTCTGGAGATGGAGACTAAACACAGCAGAGAAAGCAAAAATATTACCAAAATAAAATCACAGTATTTTTTTTTTTTTTTGTTAAGAAAAGGAAGTAAATTTAAAGCTGAGCTTAATAGACAGTTGAAATACATATGCAGGAACTGGTTTAGCAAAAAAATTTATAAATCAGTTCAGCCAATTCTATGATCTAGGCACCCCTGCCAAACAGTACAGTTAGGTTCTGACCTCCACTGCTGCAGAAACAGTTTTGTCAAGACCCCCCCCAACCTACTGACTGGACTGCAAAGGAGAAGCAATGTACTGACAAATCATGACTGTGATCTCTTCCTGGTAGCATGTTCTTCTCAGCACATGTGAACTGCAGCAGAGTCCAATTATCTTTTATTTATTTCAGGTACTTCTATAGCGCCATCAATTTACACAGTGCTTTACATATATATTGTACATTCACATCAGTCCCTAACCCTCAAGGAGTGTACAATCTAAGGTCCCTAACTCACATTCATACATACATATACTAGGGCCAATTTAGACAGGAGTCAATTAACCTACCAGCATGTCTTTGGAGTGTAGGAGGAAACTGGAGTACCTGGAGGAAACCCACGCAGGCACAGGGAGAACATGCAAACTCCAGGCAGGTGGAGCTGTGGCTGGGATTTGAACCAGTGACCCTAGTACTGCCAGGTGGAAGTGCTAACCATTTAGCCACTGTGCTGCCCAAATCTTTTAACACAGATCCCTTTCTCTTCCTACAGGCAGTCCTTTCATTCTTAGAATTTAGAATAATTGTAATGATTCTTTAATAACTAATACTCTTATCTAATATTCTTTTTGTGTCTTTCTGGAGGTTAAAACAAAACTGTCAATGCTATGAAAGCTGAACAGGTTGCAGCAATACAATGTGGACACCATTATATGAACCTCCAGTTCCTCTAAGTGCCTTGAATCCCAGACCGAAGGAATATTCCAGTTTTCACACCTAGATGTGTTAACAGATGGCCTTACTCCCTTCTATAGGTTCCTACTATTGGCTACTCATCATTGTGACTCTGAGCTCATAGGAATGTGTTTTTGGGGTGGGCCAACTTTCAACATTAGGAAGTACCAATGCTATTATTAATCAGCGACCCAGGATTTGGGGTATCCGTGGGGTGTTGCAGGGATCATTTAAAGCAAACAGCAGCAGCAAAAACATGTTAAAATTTTTTGGTAACATGCAGTATAAAGGATGGGGTTGTGTTGAGTAAATAGATACCAAACATGTTAAGATATAAAACTGCATCTGCCTAGCACTGTGTGCGTGAGTGTTTTCTGTGTAGTTGTGCTTTGGATGGTCTACGGTTTTCCTTTTTGTTTTGTTAGCTGGGACCAATTGCCCATACTTAACCATACTTAACCTGCTGCTGAGCTTTGTCGTTCAGACAGGAATGTGTCATTGCCTTGTGCTACCTTTTACCCTTGTGTTATCTTGTTACTTGGGCTCTGGGCAGCCAATAATCACGCCATCAGTTTTTGTTTTAAATTACATCTGTTTTGTAAGCTTTAATTCAAAATGTTAAATAAGAACCTTAAAAAAAAAAAACCTGTGTGCGCCTGTGAAATGGCAAAAACCTTACCTAAAATTTTTCATAGCGGACACTTTAAAAGTTTTTATGGGTTGTTTAGAGTGAACCTAGAATTATGGCTCTCTCGCTCCAACGTTCACAGTGATACCTTATATGTGATACAAATGTTCACAGATGATTTCATGTAGTAGTAAACCCAAAACAAAAATGTTATATATTGCAGCTTAAAAATTCTTAATTGTTGTGACTACATTAGTTTCCTTTTTTTTTTTTTAAATCACTTGCCTACTGAGCACTTTTACCCTCTTTCTGCCCAGGCCAATTTTCAGCTTTTTATCCTTTTTTCACACAAATGGAGCTTTCTTTTGGAGCTATTCGATCACTGCTGGGTTTTAAATTATCTGCTAAACATAAAAAAAACAAAGTTTTGAAAAAACATTTTTTCTTCTTAGTTTCTGTTATATAATTTTGAAAAGAGGTAATTTTTCTCCTTCACTGATGTGCGCTGATAAGGCTGCACTGATTGGGATGGACAAGCAGGCATGGATGAGGCAGCACTGATAGACTGCTCTGACGGACACTTCTGGGACTGTGATGTACTCGGATATGTAAATACAGAAGCCGATTATTAGCATGCCTCTCTCCTCAGGCTGTGACAGCGTGAGGAAAGTGCAGCCAATAAACGGCAACTGTATTTACATTGTGATCACAGCTGATCACATGGTAAAAGGGCACTGTGGTTGGCCCTTTACCATGTCATATGATCAGCTGTGTCCAAATGAAACAGCAATCACAGAGCTTGCCAGGTGCGCGTCCCAGGAAGTGTGCTGGAGGCACGGTCCTGGAGATCATCATATGACCCCCTTCCAGAACCAGACGACCGCGCTGTAGCAGTCATTCAGCTATAGCCCAGTCACCAAGTAGTTAAACTTTTTTTTTTTTATATATATACTTGGCGAGTAAGCCAGTAAGTTATTTTTCAACTTTAACAGACCAACCTGTCCAGCAAAAGTGGCAGTTAAGTGTTGAGACAAACTATTAAACACTGAGAGGGGTGCTAAAAATGATCAGCTTTTATTCATTTATGGAAAACATTTATGCCAAAAAGGAATTTAAAAAAAAAAAAAAAACTGTTGCTGTAACGACTTCAAGGGGCATTTCTGGGTAGGGGAGCGCGTGCGAGCCCTACCCGCGCCACCACTGGTGGTTTCAGTTGTTGATCACTGGGTCCCAGCTGGTGATAGCCGAGTATCACTGGCGGGGGGAGAGGTCTGTATGTGCAGCTCCTGCACACTGCTTTGTATTGCTCTGCATAGCAGAGCAATACAAAGCAATGTGCTTACACAGTAAAGCATACACACAGCACACAGTTAACCCCTTCCTGCCAAGTGTCATTAGTACGTCAGTGCTTTTTATTAGCACTGATCACTGTATTAGTGTCACTGGGGATGTCATTGACAGTTAGTCAGTTCCCCCCCAGTGTCAGAATGCCCTCCGCAGTCCCACTATAAGTCGCTGATCGCCGCCATTACTAGTCTAAAAGGAAAAAAAAAAAAGATAAAAGTTTTTTTTTCTCAAAATTGTCGGTATTTTTTTTGTTTATAGTGCAAAAGGTAAAAATCGCAAAGGCGATCAAATACCACCAACAGAAAGCTCCATTTATGGGAAAAAAGGACATACATTTCATTTGGGTGCAGTGTTTCTTTATTGGATATGTTTTATAGCAAAAAGTCAAAATATTGTTTTTTTTTTCAAAATTGTTGGGTCTTTTTTTGTTTATAGCGCAAAAAAAAGAAAAAATTAAACAAAAAAACCACACAGGTGATTAACCCCTTGACGCCGACGTCACACAAATATGCGGCTTCACGGAACTGGGCTTTTTTCCGTGGGGCTGCATATTTGCGTGCCTGTCTTTGTGCTGGGAGCGCGTCCCTTGGTGCGCTCCCAGCACAGAGACTGCGGTGTCACTGAGAGCCCCGGGTCCCGTTCTAACGACCGGGACCAGGGACTCCCGATTCCGGGTCACATAATCGTGGTGATAGCCTCTGATTGGCTGTCACAGTGATCAGTCACTGTACAGCCTGACCCCCTTGCTTTTTTCTCTCTCTATGAATGGAGAAGAGAGATAGATTGTATCCCTCTAACTCCTGGCATAGAGAGAAAAAAAATGTTTAAAAAAAAAAAAAAAAAAAAAAAGATAAATAAATTTTAAAAAATAAAATTAAAAATAAACAAAAATACCTAGATCAAGGTTTGATATATTTTAGTGCCAGGGTTAGTGTTTGGGTCAAGGTCAGAGTCAAAGGTCAAAGTCAATGGTCAGGATTTAAAAAAAAATTGGTATCAGTGTCAGTTAGTGTCAATATCAAGACAAAAACAAAATGCGCACTATTGTTTCTGGGCTGTACTACGGGTACAAACAACAAATAACACACATATATGGTATCACTGCCATCGTCAAGAGCTGGTGGTAGGTTATGGCAGTAACACACAGGTAAAAAAAAAAAAAAAAAAAAAAAAAAAGATTTTTTTCACTATTTTGGGCCAGTTTTCCTTTAATAATAAAAAAAATCAGGAGCTATCCATTACCATTTACCACCAAATGAAAGCCCAATTTGTCCTGAAAAAATCACGGTATAATCCACCTGGATGTACAAAGTAGTTGTGATGATATGTACAGTTTTACTATCACATGTCATCGTTGCAGAATTGTGCTTGGGCATTTAGATTTGTTTTACCCTTAGGCGTGAAGGGGTTAAATACCACCAAAAAAAGCAATATTTGTGGGGGGAAAAAAAATTACATAGTACAGCGTTGCATGACAGCACAATTGTCAGTTAAAGTAACGCAGTATCGCAAAAAATGGCCTGGTCGGGGGGGGGGAAAATGAATGCAGCCACCACATTTAAGGATTGGTAAGCTGCAATATACTGAATTCTTAATGAATACTGAGGTTTTTGTCTGCTTTTGCTCCTTCACTGTCCAATTACAGGCTGGGGGCAGGGAGGTTATGCTAGCCAAGTTGCTTAACTTCAACAGAGAAAAATCAGGTTACCAAGCTAGGTACTGTATGTGACAGGATTTTGTGAATTTAAAGACTGACTGGACAAAAACCATCAATTCTTTGGTAACTGTATTTAGTGCTTTGCCTGGAGCTCAGCTTTAAGATACTGTAGCGTTTCATTATATATATACAGTGGGGATCGAAAGTTTGGGCACCCCAGCTAAAAATGTATGAATGTGCATAAAGAAGCCAAGGAAAGATGTAAAAATCTCCAAAAGGCATCAAATTACAGATTAGACATTCTTATAATATGTCAACAAAAGTTAGATTTTATTTCCAATTGATTTTCAATTATGTTGAGGTCAGGAGATTGTGAAGGCCATGGCAAAACCTTCAGTTTACGCCTCTTGATGTAATCCCCCGTGGATTTCGAGGTGTGTTTAG